CCTTTATTTTTTAGCAACTTCTATAAATTAAGAAAAAGATTTTGCTATAAAAAGCACTGCCTAAAAATAAAGCATGACATCATTATTGTTTTTATCTACTCAGTGAATGATGCAAAGAGGCCAGACGCTTATAGCTCCTGCTTCTCAGTGTTTTCTTTTAATGATTATTTTTAAGAGTATTTGCTGATATTTTTTTTACTTCCTCGAGTAAAATGCCTGAATACGTCCGCATACACCTGCACATTTGATTTATCGTATATATAAAATGATTAGGATCACACTGGTCACTCTAAAATGTCCAGAGGTTTTGAATTCTCTTAATTTCTACATATTATCATTCAGATCTCAGTCATTATACAAAAAAAGAACACATACCTTTGACATCCAAATGAACCACCCTTCTCTGGTGTAGGTGTTCTAGCGCCCCCAGTGTTTGATGAAGGTAATGCAGGGCCAGATCTTCAGGTAGGCAGTTCATCTCCTTTAGAAGCTGGGCTAAACAAGCTGATGGGGTTTGGGAGAGTATGATTACTCTCTCCGACTGCTCAGATGGTTTTTATGCAGTTTGTAGCGTGTAGTTAGGTTACCTGGCTTCAGGTCCATGAGGAGAACGACGTTAAGCCCCTCCCTCACAGCTCCAAAGAGCTCCACGACTCGAGGAGAGTTCAGAGCACTCCATGTGCTCACCTCCTCGCTGCTGAAATGACTCAGTGGAATCTGAGAAGAACGGTCAACAATGAGCTAAATAACAGAAATCAGTTTAAATAAAACCAGCATGTCAGCTCTCGGGAGTTTAAACCTCCCGGGTGGAGCACATCTGGATTGTAATGACTGACTCAGCGACTTGGCTTACCCTCTTGGCAGCACATTTGAAGCCGGTGCTTCTGTCACGAACGCAGAACACGTCACCATATGATCCATTCTGGATGTGATGAAGGACAAAGTATTCCTCTCCCTCTCTGTACTGACAACTGCTGGGCTGGAGATGCTTGATGAAACAAAGAGAGAAAAAAGGAAACGAGTTAAATCACAAATCCCCCATAAAAAACAACTTTTACAGCCAGTCTTCCTCATTTAAGCGCTGAAATCCTAGATGAGCCTTCCCTTCAGGCCACTTCACCCACCTCACCACCAGTATTCAAATCTAGACCAAGTTACTGCTAACAGTTCATCCTGGCGTTGTTCCCGCTGGTGCAGAGGCCGGTTTATTGATTGATTGATTTCTTTTGGCTCATAACTTTTATTGTATTTTAAATGTGTCTTTAGCTTCTAAACATTCACATCAGTAACATGAAGTAAAAGTTTCCACCTTTATGTGGTGAAAAGTCTGCATTCAGAGTTTTAGATGTCACAGATTTTTTACACTTCATTTATTTTTTACTAAATTATGAATTAAAAACTTTGTTATTCATTATTGTTGGTTAAAGTGAAATATTTACTCGTGAAACGCTACGAGGTAACCTGATGTGCATCTCCTTAGAAACTGAACCAAATGCTGCACTGATGCAGCGACTGTGATTGGCCCGTTCAGTACCTGAATACTACTGCTTCTGCTGTCTACTGTCCATAAACAAAAACAGTGTGGATGGACTGGATGTGGATGTCTTACGTCATGAAATATGAGTCCTTCGTTTGCAGGTTTCGATGTTTTCCAGCTGTTTAGGATCCGTTTGATGAAATCTCTGCAGAAAGCTGAAACAAGCAGCTTTGGTATGTGCGCCACTTTGCCCCTCAGCTCATCTAAAACTGCGTCACTCATTTCATCAAACCCAAAGGAACACTGGGATGTATTCTCAGTGCTGAGGCTGTGGGAATACTCTGAATTTCCCAGTGGGTTTTGCACACTTCCTCTAGAGTCAGAATTCCATTCTGCATTGGAGGAAGGGGTAAATCCAGACACATACATGAGGTCAAAGGTCGACATGATGCCTTGTGTGCCGACATCGACGTCATAAGACGAGTCTGAGTCGCTTTCATGAGTGCGAACAGAGTCGGTATCCGAGCCCGAGCCTCCTCTGTGGTCGGTGCTGGATGTGTCTTCTGTATCTACGGATCTGCGTTGGTCCTCTGACGGCGACGCCTCCTCTGATCTCCTCGCGCAGTCGCAAACGTCTGCGCAGCTGCAGCTGTCACACATGCACGAGTCTCTGCAGGGGTCTGAGGCCGAGTCAGTAAACTGAGGAGGAGGAGGTATGATTTCAGCCGATGAAGTCGTCTCTCTGTCTGCTGATTTCAGCCAATCAATCTCCTGCACCCACAGACCCTGGATGATAGGAGGCTCCTCCCCTTCCTCCAGGCTCTGTGTGGTTCTGGTTTTCCGGCGCTGTTTTCTCTGGAGGTGGTAGCGCGGGAATTTGGTGGCTGTTTCAAAGTTCTCATCATCTGAGTCGCTCACAAAGGCGGCTTCCTTACCGAGAGTCCTGCAAATGAGAAGAAGTATGAAAATTTGGTTTCTCACACAGAACGCTTGATGCTTTCTTTAAAATCCAGCTGATCACAATGTTGTTTGGAGCACATGAGATATTTAAAGTGCAGGAAGAGGTCATTGTGTCATGCACACAGAAAAAGCACAGCTAAAACCTTGTTACCATCTATGAATACAAATATGTAGCTGGTCATGAGCACATAAAGAACCCTGAACCCTCACGTACAAGCTGAATGGAAGCCATATAATACCTGTATCCTATATTTTTGGCCATGGAGGGCATTTAAGCCTGTGCACAGGTAATGTGTGTTGTGTTCTTTACCTGTGCTTTTGGAGGAGGCGAGACTGAGAGTAGGGGCACTGAGTGTTGGTCGGGCTGAACTCCTGGAAGTCTTCTCCTGGGACAGAGAAACAGTAGGAGTTCGAGTTAGAGAAGTCTCGTTGTGGATTAAAGTTCTGGTCCATGTGCTACAACTGCATGCTTCCATTCAGAGGTGTAACAGTAAAAGTGTTGTCTTCGGTTTTTCTGCATTCCTCTCTGGAAGCTTTTAGCTGCTATTATGTTATTTTGCACAAGAGGAGCTAATGCACCATTTCTTTAATACACCTACTTGGTGGTGAACATTAGTGATCTTTGGTTGCATAAGCAGCTGTTTTGCAAACCTGAAAAGTGCTGATGTACAACTCAAAACAATTATAGATCATTGAAAACCTTTAAGCCTGTTTTAGTCGTTACTCTCTAAAAGCAAGATCAAAGCCCTTTGATTAAAAGAAGTTCAGTTCAGTTCATTTTTATTTCAAACATTTCAAAGATGTGCCTTCACAATCATTACAAAATATCATTCCATTATTTGTTTGAAAAGGAGTAGGCAGAAGTATTTACTTATTTGTCCCTACCCCCTCAAGTTTTACTTCAATTCATTTAATTTTTTTAGTCTTAAATTAAACAAACAACATATGAAATAAAAGTAAAGCAAAACAAAACATACATAAATCAAAATCAAGAAATTAGCAAGCCCCACCACAGTATAGTTTCTTTCATATGAAAAATACAGAATGTGTATTTGCAGATACACAAGTTATGGAAAAACAAACAAACCAAAACAAAAAACCCAAAAAAAGAACCACAACACCATTACCAGCAACATTACCGTCCTGGGTTAACCCCGTTTTCTTCATTCTTATACTTATTTAAAATTAGGTTTTTATATTTTACTTTAAACTGATTTATGTTTTTACTTTCTTTTATTTCTTCTGTTCAACTGTTCCATAATTTAACTCCTGCAATTGAGATAGACATAGTTCTTAAAGTTGTTCTAGCACTTTGTATTTTTAAATTCCATTTCCCTCTTAAGTTATACCCACCTTCTCTTTCTATGAACAATTTACAGATTTCTTTTGGAAGCAATTTATTTCTTAGTTTATACATTATTTGCACTGTTTTAAGTACTCATCTTGTGCTGACATGAAGTTTTTTGGCCCCTCAGGGCTTGCATTAAGTCTTGTGCAGCCCCATGATAGACTGGAGACTTGTGCTGGATCTACATGTGCTTTCATTGTGTGTTTTTTAAACCAAAATAATAGAAGGATGCAAGTAGCTAAGACAAAAAGGAAAACAATGTAAAACAGTCCTGACTCAGATCTGAACTCAGTCTTACTTACGCTCAGCCTGCGCGACTATAGAAACACACGGATTCTCCTCGGAAACTTCACGCCCCTGTGTGACAACATGCTTGGCTGTGCCGCGCTGCATCACTCGACTCAGGTGGGGGCCGATGGCTTGGACCAGCGAGTCTTTCTCCTCCTCGCATCCCTGATCGTCGTCCACTTTGGTGAGAAACGAGATCTCAGATCCGTCGGCCACGATGACGAAGGGTGTGCTGGAGTTAAACATCCGAGGTATGGCCATGTCTCTGTCGCTGTCGGTCGGCATCTAGAACTGGAGGAGAGAAGGAGATGGAAAATATGTTTAAAAGAAGAGAAACCAAACCAGTAAGTTTCATACGGAGTATTTTGAAGTAAGTCAGATCTTACTAAAAACCCTGGTGTGGATAACTTGGCCACACAGAATGGACCCTGTTCTTTTAGTACTTTAAAGGTGTGTGTAGAATAATGTTAAGAGACTGTGTGCGTGGATAAAGGATGGATACATTTGTTTTTTCTTGGCGATAAAATGTCTGAGAATAACCAAAGTTAGCAGGTTTCATCCTGAATATTTAAATATAATTTGGTCTCCAACCCTTGTAGTGAATGGGGAGATATTTTCTTGCTTGGCTGCTAATAAGTTAGACTTCTTTAAAAAGACTTCTAACAAGGTTAGAAGTATTTTATGATCAGTAGGCCTGTCTAAGAAAACTAATATGTGAGCTTTTTGAGCGGCAGCAGATGCAAATACTTATCCCTAAATCTGCTTTAATGTTATACAAGAACAAAATAATAGACTGAGTTTGCTTTTTCGTTATAACCGACTGTTTAGGGACAACACCTGCACAGGTAAGGAGTTTAACCACTTGGGGTCACTATAGATCAGATTTTTTAGGTGCTGCTCAGCTCATTTCTTTCCCTGGTGTGCAGATGGATCCATTCGTTTTTTTGTAAAACAAATGAATCATCATCTAAAGCCAGGAGTTCATAAAATGATCAGGAATACTGTATGGAAATATGTGATATTGGATATCTTTTCTGTTTTTATTTCAACAGTTGGAACCACTGAGAAATATGTATGAAGAAATATGTGTATATGTTTTATTTTTTCATTAATTATTTAAATATCTATCCTACATTTTTATGTTAAGCAGGAAAACTATTTCATTCTTATATCCTTAATTATACAACCCTAGTTTTGTCATATTTACACAAGATATGGCAGATATGATATGACAAATACCAGGTTGTAATATCAGCCAGTAATTGAGCCTAAAATAATCATTTATGCTTTACTTTTAGGTTCCTGCAACACAAGAAGCCTGATTAATTCAGCCGTAGTAGAAACCACTGATTTGTAGCTGACAAGCACTTTAATGTGGTGGCATTTGCCGTGGCGGGGTGTGAATGAAGGGACACCGGTTGTAAGCCCGGAAAGGTGAATATAAATAGCGCACAGAGGGGCGGTTGCGTGCCTTCCACTGAGGCTGTCCAGCTGTCAAAGTCTCTCTTGCTCAGGGCTCGCCATGTTGACAGCGAATACAGGGAGACCAAAACAGACACTCTTCCCACTCACAGAGGCTGCACTTGTCCTGGAAGTTCTCGCACAGAGCCTGCGTGAATGGATACCTGAAGAGCTTTACTTTGATAATATGGAATTAACCAGGCTTTATCTACAGATGAGCTTCATCTAAGAGCCAATCAGACTTTCAGGACATGCAAGATCGACATGTTAGACTCTGGAAATGCTGCAAGTTTCACTAAACTTTCCATCAGCCTCGAACGTCCTTCTGTGACCTGACAGTGAGGACACCTCCAGCTCAGCAAAGTCTGACTCAAACATCCAGTCACAGCAGAGCACATTACCTTAGCTCAGTCAGCTGGTCTCGGGTTCAGCTGAAATCCTGCAGAAGAGATCGAGGTTTCCTCTCGTGACTCCTTCTGTCTTCTGCCGTCTGTCCGTTCTGTGTTATTATGTGTTTGTTAGTTTCCAAGTGTAACTTACCGGCTTTCTGCCCCCACAGGCCCTGCTGATTGGCTGACCATGTGTGTGAGTTACGAGCTCTTGCACCTCTGTCACCCGGGCCCACCCACTCGCCCACACCAGCCTCAAACACACTTCATGGATTCCGTAAGTGTCCTCGATGACACTTGGGTCTTTAAACCCACTCCAAGTGTCACAGTTTAAAGCCAAATTCCCACTGCTCAGCTCTAAGCCTCAGTATGACGGCTCTTATTTTCAATAAAGAAGATGTAGAGCAAGAGAAGCATTGTTTTCCAGCAATAGAAACATGTCCCCTGTGCTTAAGAAGTTGTGAGGGCTCAAAAATGCTGGAAAAAATCAAAATAAAACACCAAATTTCAGCCCACCCATATGTGGGGCCTATAACTGCTTTCATTAAGGGGTGGATCGGGTGATCTCAGGCGACCTCATTGATATGCTGCTGTGGGTTTCCCATGATGCACCTGAGACCACATAGAAACCTGCCCCTCCCCTCGCCTGATTCTGCTGAAAGTTTCTTCCTGTTAAATGGGAGTTCTTCCTCTCCACCATTACCAAGTCGTGCTCGCAGGGGATCGTCTGTTTGTTGGACATCAGGGTCGTTACCTTGCAATATTAAGTACCCCGAGGTGTCTGTTGTGGTGAATTGGAGCTGTACAAATACAATAAACTTAAACTGAATGAAATCTTTAAAATCTTTTGTGTATTGTGGTGAAGAAAACCATGCAGCTTAATCAGCAGTTTCATAATAAAGGTACTGATGATGATTTAATAATTAAATAGAGATGTTGTGTAAATAATGCACATATTAAGATGCTGTGAAGAATTGTGTAATTATTGTTTTGTACAGTTATGCATACAAACTCTCCTCCCACCTGTATACACAACCTTGGAGTCAATTTGCTGAAAAGGTGAAAAAGAAATCATACTTTGTATAAACGTAAGGATCAAATTGAGGCTCATCTTGTTATTTGGTGACAGACTGTTCAGAACCAAAAATAAAAGACAAAATAAAATTGTTGATAAATTGAACCCTATTGTTGATGTGATGTCCTTACATATACACACACACTGATATCTGTTTGTGTATAGAGTTAAAGAATGATTGCATAACATATTTGAAGTGACACTTGTAAAAAAAGCTCAGTTTCTTCTGTCTCTTGACAACTGGACGGTGCATTCCTGTGTGAATTAGTAAAATACCATAGGAGGGAGTGCGCTATGTGTGTGATTTGGGTGGAGGGTCGCTCTCCCTGGCAACACGTGAATGGAATCAGAGGTCGACCAATTGTGAGGCTGTGCAGAAAGTTTCCTCGCACGTCAGTGGGTTACTGTCACTCCAGTCCTCGCTGCTGTTGGTGGGTCGAATCAGCTATACATAGAAGTGAAAAGCCTCATTGAGGCTGTTTCAGCGTCTTCATTTCTCATTCACTGATGGAAATAATAAATCAGTGCCAATGAGGGCGAACCATAAAACCTGTTTTTATGTAATCAGGATCTATTAAAAATAATTTTTTACCACTTTCTGGGGCAAAACTGGAGAAGACTGACAGGTCTGTGAGGCTCTTAGGCCAGGTTAACTTAGCATAAGTCGACATATATAGCTGTAACAGTTTTTTGTTTTGTTTTTTTAAAAAACAACAACTACTAGACCTTATTTCTCTTTTTAAATCCAGAGGCAACCACACTTTTGAGGTTGTATCACCTTCCATTTTTATATTAAAGTACCTTAATTCATGTGCAATCGCTTGAACTATTTAAAAGATTTATTAATGAGAGAAGTCAACTTAAACAAGAGCACGGTCATAAACAGAAACTCTGCACAGGTGCCGTGGGAAACCTGAGTCAAGTGGTACTTGTGGAGAGTTCGTATTTACTGGTAAATGCAGGCCAGTAGTTATGCTTTAACCTGATTAATTTTCAGTTTTCTTCTTTTTTGGGTAAAAAACAATCCTTGAAATGGTAATA